TATGGAAGTGAGTTGCATTTACTCAAAGAATTTTTAATCTCCCCAAAGAAACAATGTTAAATAATGTACAACACTAACCAAAATGTTACCTGTCACGGGTAGAAAATCTAGCTAGTGGTAGGGCAAGCCTGATGTTTACTGGCACTTAGGCCAGGGAAAGAGCTTGTGGGTTTTGGGGGGTCTGGTGTTTGTGTTTTGGGGAGTTTGGGGGTTTTTGGGGGCGGGGGGGTTGGTTTTTGGGGTTGTTTTTTTGGTTTTTTTGTTTTTTTTTTTATCTAACTAGGCAAATAATACCGAGAGTGCCCTAGGCTCAAATTTTGGATGGAGTTCAGCCTTGCGGAATGCAACGTTCCCACCTCGTCCCCCGGACAGCCGGGCAGGGTGGCAATGCCAGGACAGGCGGTTTAGCTACCTGCAGCCTGGGGAAGAGACAGGGCAGGAGAAAATAGGAAGGAGCTGTTCCTTACCGAGACCCATGCCAGCTGGGAAGAGCAGACTTCGGGGGCTGCGAACCCCAACCACTCCAACTCCCTGGGGCTCCCCAGCACCGAAAGCAGGTCAAACAACGGGCAGCCGGCAGGACAAAAGGCTTGGCAGGGGAGATGAGCCTCTGCCGTGATAGCTGTGCAGTGGTGTGGTCCCCACGGACCCCCCAAAATCCCCCGTCCTCGGCTTGGGCAGCTCCGGGAGCCGGCTCCCGGCGCTGCGTGGCTGGCAGCCGCTTTGCCCACGCGTGTCTCTGGGAGCCGCAGCGCCGGTCTAAGAGTGACCCCCAGTGTCGGGCAGCTGGGTAAGGCAAGCTGCGGGCCCCCCCGGGCTCTGCGCCCGGGATTTAGCAGGTGAAGCGATGGAAATTAAACCGTAATCCCCGCAGCAGAAGCGATGCGCGGAAGAAGCGAGCAGTGGGAAGAGCACGGCTGCGCGCACGGCTGCAGTTGAAGCAGCTGCTACATTAAGTCAGGAAGAGGTTTCTGGGAGCTGCTGCTTTTCAGTGGCAAGGCTAGGTTGCCACCGTCCGTGTAATCAGATTCCTGGAGCGAAGGTAATGATTCGGCCCCAGTGGGATGCTTTGTGCTGGGAGAGATTTACTTGCGTTTTGTGAAACGCCTTAAAAAGCAACGCTGCTTAAAGCAGTTAAGGTCTTGGAAGGGTAGGAAACCTTAGGCAGATTGGGTGCCCTGAAGTCATCGGCTAGTGTTTGCGGAGTGCTTTGGAAAGGATTTGCCATGTAAACGCTAGAGATCGTTACAAAAACTGGGTACGGGCATTGACAGGGAGAGGATCCGATTGCCAGCAGCGGGCCCTGGGCAGGGGTCTGGCATCTCCAGTTGCACCCGTCACAGGGAGGTTGGTGCCATATAGCTCCCCAGTCAGACAAGTAGGACAGCAATCCAACTTGAGATGGGTTCTCTGGATTCTCTTTTCTCAGATGTCCCCTACGGTTTTTCATTAATAAATTTCATCGTTTTTCTTCTTGCTGCTCTTTCTTGCAAAGCTTATGTAGTCTGCTCAGTTGTGTTAATTAATTTCTTCAGCTACTGGCTTTCCACATTTGGTTCTTGACAAGATACTAGCAAGAAATCCAAAATCAGACCCAAAAAGAGATTTCTCACATGGCACACACAAAGTTTCATTATGTATCATAAATTCCCTGTTATTTCTATGCCAGGGCTCTCTAGCTCCTAGTGTGAGTACTTCTTAGTAATAAAAATTAAGGTCTTACTCAATTTGAGTGGTGCAAAGGTAGTCAAGACAGCAGGGTTTGGGACAGGCTGCATCAGAGGATTGCAGACCCCCTTGAATATTTTGGTTCTGGCTGGGATATTGACTCATCAGAAATTTGTCCAGGAGACAGTGCCTCTGGAAGCCCAAAACTGGTGGTTCAATATTCACTGTCATTACCTGAGTTGGCATGACAACATTGTTTGACAGGAGAGCACAACAGCTAAAAAGTTGTGTCTTCAAATCCTGAGCGAAAGATTAATTTGTACTGCTGGCACTTGCTCTGCAGGGGAGGCAGAGAAGGCGGCAGGGAGGAAGGATGCCGCAGCTTGGTCCAGGCAGGGAGCGAGGCTCCCTATGCCAGTTACTAGGAGGCAGATCCTCCTCCTGCTTTCTCCCCAGGTGCTGCTAATGAAGAAGAATTCAGCCACCTTAACTAAAAATAACTTTCCCACAGCAGGAAAAGACCAGCCGGTGCTCCTGCTGGATGACTGTTTAGTTTGACAGACCTTGCATTCAACAGTTAACAGCCAGTATGTTTACAGGCAACATTTTTTTTGGCTGCTGTCCCCTGCATGTCACTAATGTTTAGCCAAACGAACTGGGAGGATTATAACAGACAGGGACACTGGTGCAAGTGACAGGCGCAGAGACAAGTGCTGCAAGAAGCTAATTTACACATCGAGTTTCACAGCCTGAACCTCCCTTCCTGCTCTATAAGCTCATCAGCTGCTGCTTTATACCCGCCAGCCAGCTTTCATAAAAATGAGGGAGCTCACAAAATCTTTTTTTTTTATTTTTTGCCTGCCTGCTTCGACAACAGATTCTAATAAAAACCACTTTTTAATATTGTTGAAAATAAGTCCTCTTTTATGTGGAAATGTGGAATTAATGTAAATAGTTTGTGCTGCTCTGATTCTCTTTAAGGGCTGCTTGGCTGTTAGCAGTCCCTGCGTAGCCTTTCAAGTCACTCAGGAGACACTGCCTGCTGCTGAGACGTGGACTGATCTCAGAGGGGTTCTGCATTCTCGCTTGCCTCTCCCGGGGTGTTCTCTGCGCTATGTGACAGTTGTTTTCTCAGAGAGGGATCAGCCATATTTCAGAAAATGCAACACCATCTGCAGCTGCAAAATTGCCACTGCCTTCCTACAAAATAACATGGTTATAGGGGTGACCATAATACAAGAGCTCTGCAAGGGAGCCCTGGCATCCTGGCTTCGCCTGTGTAAGGTGCTTTGCCTCTTGAAACTGTCCAAGGCCACCCTGCACAGTCTCAGGCGCCTGTGGTCGTGTATCTCCACCCCCGTGTGCTGCCACAGAGTGTGAGCCTGCATCTGCACTGGGTCACTGAAGCACATATGGCTGCTTAGGGCTGACCCACCCCTGCCCTCATCACCTGAATACGCACATCAATTTTGGAAAGCAGCATAAAGAGTGAGAAACATATACTGTTGTGAAAAGTATTTATTAAAATTTTCAAAATCAAATTTTTCTTACCATTTTCACTTCGTTGGGGAAATTAAAACAACCACCAAGTTTTTCAGCTGCAGAAATGCTGTTCTTGAGCCAGTTCTAGTTCTCCTCTGTTTATGAGACAGTATAAGTTTTCACTGCCTAATAAAAACAATCATCTGTATTCTGTGGCTGCAAGCAACAACACTGTGAGAGAGTGGAGCAAGTGGAGAAGCTTTTGGAGGAGAATATGAATTATCTCAGCCAGAGAACAAAGCACAGAAGGACCCCTGAGCACCGAGAGAAATTGTAGAACAACGTATCAGGCATGTCTCCGAACCTCTGCAGTTTAACTGGGAGACTTTATGCTTTTGAGAAAAAATGTCTTACTTGAATATTCCCATAGGTACATTCTTGCCACTTATTTCTGCGATTTAAATTGTTGCTCATGTTTTTTAAGGCCAGGATGAACGGACAAGCATTTTATCAGCTAAGTTGGATTGAGGAACACAGGTAATATCCTCAAACCACTGAGACTTGTGGTATGGCTCTGCAATGAGCAAGAACATTAAAGGCTGCTATAAAGAAACAAGCTCCTGTGCCCTCAGCCGGACAGAATTATAAAAATCCCCACAGCGTCCTCAAAGCACTGAATTAACAGAAGAGAGAGCTGTAGTTTAATGTGATGGATAGAGCCCCTGGGCTCCATTGCAGCGGACGCTGCTGTCCCTCCTCCGGTGCAGACCGTCAGGGCATGCAGTACCTACAATTTCTCAAAACGGGCAAGCGTACTACCTCACCTCCCCCAGTAAAATAAGTGAAAATAATTACATACTTAAATCTAGGTGTCGGGCTGCTTTGCTACACAGAAATACATCTGCGATCGTCAGAGTCCTTGAAGTTAAAGAGAGGTTTGAGTTACTGACATAATTTGTTCCCTGAGGGCTATGGAAACGAACAGAGAGGCACATCTGAATAATAACTCCAGGACCATACAACTTGTAACAGGAGCAAGCATTGCTCCAGAAGGCAGGCACGATGGGAAGCCAAAGATCTGAAATGTTTATAACCTATACAGCGATCAGGCAGGATTTGTTTGGGTTTTTTCCCCAGGCAGCAGCCCATCAGGGAGATCTGGAGGCAAGCTCTTCTGTTTTCACTTCGCTCAAGCTTATTTTAACGTAACACTGCCTGTGGGCCAAGTCAGGGTCAGGGTCTGGGCCTTGCGGCAGGCCGAGGCGGCCTCCCCGCCCAGGCCCCGTCTCCCCCCACACCCAGCGGGGACGAGGCTTCCCTCCGCCCGATATTTCGGTCCGGAAGGGCCACCAGCTCACCCGGCACCCGGGGAGGACAGGTGGACGGCAAGGCCCGGCTGCCCCTGAGGCGAGAAGCTCCACAAGATGGCGAGCGCGGGCTCCGGCGCCCTCCCCAAGATGGCGGCGGGCGGTGCGGCGGCCGGGACGCGGGGCCGGGGC